TTGGATAAAAGAAAAGTCGGTGGTGACTCTTGCTTACCGCGACATTTGCGAATACAAAATGCAAACCAGTATAAATAGTTGGTTCTACCACCGTATCACACCCAGCTTTACACCGAGGCCGGCTATCTCACTACTTTCTAAATGGTCAAGTTTGTTCAACTAAGGTTCTAAGGTCCATTAGTGCTTCACGACACCATGCGACGGCCATGTATTCTCCTCGATTTAACACAAGGGATACTAGTACCAACCAAAGTGTCACACTAACACAGCTATCACTTCAACCATATCGGTCTACACCATACATTCTTCACGATCTATTGCTGTTTACCTAAAAAGATGCCCACAGATCGGGGTGTAGGATCTATCATAACAACCCAAACAACCCTCCAAAGATAAAGCATACAAAGTACAAAAAAGCAGTTTAATAATGAACTAACTCTAAGGTAAACCCCACTTTTTATTTTTCCCCAGCAGAGTCTCCAACTGTGATACGGTGGCAGAACCGACAATTTAATACTGGTTTTGCATTTTGTATTCGCAAATATTGCAGTAAGCAAGAGTCGCCACTGACTTTTGTTTTATCCAAATTAAGGAAAGGGTGAAAAGAACAGAAAAAGACCTTTTTGAGATTATTTTGAGTAAGGGGGGTAGATTATGGAGAGGGAAGGTGTTAGCACCCTTTCCATCCGTAGTTATCTACGGGCTCTTAGAGGTTTGCTCATTTTGAAAGTACTTTGTGCTTTGTGTGTTTAAAAAATGTTTTGAAATGCCTTAGTGCGGCTATTTCTTTGCGTTTAACTCTTGTATCAGTCCTCAAGAGTGTTGATAGAGCAAATGTTTTTGAAAATTGTTTTTGAAAACTAGTATTTGTGTAAGTGCAAAATGTTTTTGAGCAAACTTCTAACAACTATCTACTTTGTACTAAAAAAGGAAGTTCTTTTCCTCCTATCCTTTAGACAGTGCTATCCTACTAATAGTGAGTAGGTAGCCCTATCGTTGGATGTTAAGGGACATTCGAAGGGACGGTACAGTCACGAAGGCAACTTGTGGAGACACTTTAGCAATTTTGATTAGGGACTAGATCATTTACCGAGAGGCAACTGTAGGGTTATCGAGGGACTATGATCTTTTTTATTTACGGGTCTTTGTTAAAGAGTCCCCATTTCGAGGGACATGATTGCTTTATTTCCGAAGGCAACCAAAGTGGGGTACCCTAGAGGTGTATATGTGTAATGTATGTTATATTCAATTATTTTTTATATTTTCTGTTAGGTTTGCAAACGTTTTGTTATTAGTCTTATCATGTAATCCTAGTTACTAGCAGTTAATATGTACAAAATATAAAATGCGGAAGTATAGACCTACACTATTACATGGCTTCGGGGAAGGGATTTACAATGTACAAAACTTGGGGAGTGCAGAAATTAAAAGCATAAAATAAAGCCTAATTACTATTACATCTTATAAGCAGTTACATCATTATAAAAAAATGCGAGAATAAAATAAATGCGCGTGAAGATTGAAAGTTCGTCTAAAAACCTAATAAGAAATTATGTTTTTGTTTTTATTTATTTTAAGAAGATAATTAAACTACCTTAAATCTAATTTTAATTAAAAAGATAATTGCTAAATGAATTTAAAGCCTAATTCTAATATTTTTTGTATTTTTATTTGAGAAAATATTTGAATTAAAAACCTATGTCTAATTGGTTTTAAATTAATTAAAATAAGTCAAAATAATTAAGTTAATTAATTTACAAAAATTAAAATTAATTTAGAAAATCCTAAGTCTATTATTGTTATTTATTTTGATTTTTAATTAAATAAAAGAGATGATTTAAAAGAAAATAAGCAATGAAACAAATAAAATAAAATAAAAATCAAATTGGGCCTGATGTCTAAAGCAAATAGGGGGGGTGCGTTTTTGGAATTGCTAGGCCCATAAGTGAAAGAGCCCAGAGGTTGTATGGATTCAATGATGTTGTTCCTTTGAAGGTCTATTATGAGCGCCTGGATCTGGAACGTCTGATCAGATGCTATGATGCTTTGATGTTGGTGATTTGAGGATACAGGGTGTGCACGCTGGAGGTGGAAGTGCTGGATCTACAAGAGAATGTTAGAAAAATAAAATATGCAAGAGGCAGGGTTCGAACCCCTGCCCTTACATATAACAAAGCCTTAAACGCGTTGCCTCTACCGTTGGGACGGTGATACTTCCATTAGCCTAAATGCATCCATAAATATATATATTATATACAAATGCAATTATTTTAAATTTAAAAACAATTGAATGCAGGTGGGACCCTGGTATTTGGGTGGACCAATCAAGAGGGGAGATAAGGAACTACATTTTGAATCAACCTATGGGATGTAGGGATGAAGCCACACCAGCTTGGACCACCACTTGCAATTAGTCAGACCACCGGCCACGGTGGTCACGATCATCTTCTCGGGCGAGGCTAAAAACCAAAACCTGCAAAATACACAATATCAAAGAAACTAAAGCATCCCAGCCCCCTTAAAATTTCCCAAGGAATTCTATGGTGGCCTTTATTTGATCTAAAAATTCATGTATCATGAGGTTCGATGATTCCTGTTTGAGATGCCTTAACAATGGTGATATATGATTCTGGCACTTTCACCCACATGAAACACGTTAGAACATTAGCAAGCAAATATAATAACATGAATATGTAAAGAGAATTAGTTTATATTACATGTAGAAAGAGTTTGAGATTATCAAAAATACCAAAATAGAATGATGACGATCTGCTTGATCTGGGCGCAGAACCGTGTGCTAGAGGATTGGGTTGAGTTCCTGGAAGCCACAGGGATATGTTTGAATCCTTTGTTTGGACTGAAGAAGGCTGCAAAAGTGTTTTCAATTTGGACAACTTTAAGAATTTTTTGCAATTTGGCAGTGTTCTCTCTAGGCTGTGTAGGCATGTAAGCGTGTATTTGGCTTGCAAGCATGTTATTTATATAGAGTAGAAGGGAGGGGACAAGAAGGAAATGGTTTAAACAACCTTGACCATGTTCTTTAAGAGCCTTAAACAAAATATTGTAACTTTGCCAAAGGTGCGGGAAACTTGTCTATTTTTTTTTTAAATTTGAATGTATGTGGACATTTTGGCTCCTTCGAGTGCCCTCTAGTTCCTACCCTTCGATTGGCCCGGAGTTGCCTCCTTCGAATGGCTCCAATCCTCATCATTGGGGCTTCTTCGATTGAGCCCCTATTTGCCTTGGTAGCTTGATCTGAAACTTTTCAACTAACCTAATCGAAAACTCTTTTCTGGCCATTCAAAGCTTCTTTTGTCATGAATGGGTTTGTGCAGGACGCGTGGGTCTGGCAGCATGCAGGAATTTGGCTAGACTCATCAAAATACAAAACAATAATTGTCTTTAACCATTATGTGTCTTTCAACTGAACCAAATGCATGCCCCTTCGAGGGCGTCATTTGTGTGTCCTTTGAATGGCTCACATGCACCCCTTGTGCATTCTTCGAATGGGCCACATATATGTACTTCGAAATACACCATTGGTGTATCCTTTGAATGGACCTTACTAGGTGCCAAAATGTGGAAAATTGTGTGTTGAATATTGTGGAGGTGGAGTCAAGGCTAGCATGAGGGAGGCCAACTGCTTAATGAATCAAAGCACATACGAAAGAAAACCATTACTTTATGGGTGCTGGTATGAAGGGAAACCATTGCCTTGCGCATTGGACGCAAGCCCAGAGGAAGTCATTTTCTTATGGGTCGAAAGCAAACACAGAGGCAAGTTGAAGGGGCCTTGGCCTTGTGGATCGAAGGCAAGTCTGAGGCCTTTTGCCTTGTGAGTTGAAGGCATGCTGATGGGTCTTTGCCTTGTAAAACCAAGGCAAACATGAAGAGGCATATGTGCGCTGGTGACAAGCTGAGGGGCCTTTTTCCCAGTGGGAGCTTTGTGAATCGAAGTCCAGTTAAAAGTAGCTTTTTTCCTTGTGGATCGGAGGGAGCTTGCAGGGGATTCTTGCTTTGTGCGCTGAAGGCACGCACAAAGGGAGATTTGCCTAGTCTAAGTAGGAATCAAGCTTACTCCAAAGCAAACAAATGCCCAATCGAAACAAGAATTAAGCTTTCTCCAAAGAAAACAAATGCCCAAATGAAGCAGGAATCCAGATTGCATGCAGGTGGCTATTGCATTGTGAATCAAGCCAGCATGCAAAGCCAATGGTGCAATCGAAAGAGCACTAACGGGAGGCCCTTCCCTTTTGGATCGAAGAAGGCTGTTTCAAAGGAAGCACATGCCCAGTCAAAGCTGGTATACAACAAACAAGCAAAAGACCAAGGCTTCAATCGAAGCTTGGAAATTCGAGGCAAGCTTGGAGAAGGTTAGACGCTCAATCGAAGCCTGTCAAAATGCCAATCAAAAGACACCTTGGTCATGCCAATCGAAAGACCATGTTTATCTTCAAAAAATTTATTTTTCTTTAATCAAGTATTTGTAATCACCTATGTAAGAGAAAAATCTTGGGAAAATATGAGAGGGAAAATTTTGGGGTACAACACTATTCAACTTGATTCATTATCATGACAAAATTCCAAACACTTCTCATGGCTTAATTCAAAGATTGATCAAGAAAGTCAAGTATGGTCATTCATCCAAATCAATTGTTTCATTCAAAACACCATTCAAGAGAAGGTTCATGTAGAATTTTAACTTGTAAAAAATATTCAAATGGCATTCAAAGATATCATGATGGTTCCAATTTCCAATACTTCACAAAGGTTTTACAAGAAATTCTAATTCAAAACAAAAACTCAAGAATTCTCAAGTTCTACATTAGTACAAGCTATTTTTTATCCAAGTTACAAAAGTTCTACAAGACTAAAACTACAAGGTATATTTTTCTTCCTCGAGATAACTTGGCTAATTCTACAAAACCAAGTATTTTGAATCCATATTCATGCCAAACCCTTGTTGACCACAAGCTTACAAAACCTCCCATGTTGCAATGTTAACCATAACTTGTCCACCATGCTACTGTCCTATTGCCATTACCATAACCTACACTTAACCATAAACTAATGCAAGCATATGCAGCCCTGTGCACACTTGAAAATAGAAAATTAGAAGGAAAATATGGAAAGCAACAAAGACAAGTACATACAAATAACCTTGCAAAACCAGTCCCTGTCCAATTTCCCAATACCTCCAAAAATAAGTCTGCTAATACTATTAAAATTGCTGCAATAAACAGCCAAAGATGTCACAAAATAAGCAAAAACAAAAAACTCTATCAAGAATACCTGCTGCACCTTGCTGCCAAAATCGTGACCAGTCCAAAACCTGCATTTCTGCCCTGCAAAACAGCCCTACTACTGCTGCATAAAACCTGCATAAAACCTGCATCAAAGTCTTTGTGTTGTTGCTCCAAAACCTGTCAAGATTAGGCCAAAGATTGCACATAATTAGCAAAATAGAAACTGCATTAAAAAAGCAATAAAACAGTGCATCATATCAGTTCAAACTTATCAATTTCCCAAAAAAAAAAAAACAAATTTGTTCCATTATAAAAAGAGAGACCACGACAGGCATAAAGGAGACAACAAAGTAGAGAAACCACAACAACATCCATCTGCAGTAAACACTCAAAAACTCACCTCAAAGTCCTCACTAAAGTTACTGCAGAAAACACCAAACAGTCTCACATAAACTCTCTACCCCTCAACTTTATTCTGCTTTAAAACCTCTAAACCCTCCTTCTATTTTACCCAACAGATCTTGACCCCTCATTTTACCACCATCCATTCCTTTGCATTAACACCTTCAACAACACTTGCAGAACTCAGAGCAAAAACTCAAAACCTTAACATAAAATTGAGCTGGAGAAGTCAACAAATAACTCCAACAACACCAATAATTTCAAATCAATTACAGAGGAGGAAGTTACTAAACAGAAGAAAGTCAGATTCAAAGCTTTACCAATTAAAGTCTTCGCTGGAACCGTAAGTTCGTCGGACTAGTTCCACCCTTGTAAGTTCTTCTTTCCTTCGCGTTTTACGATGTCTAAAATTGCTTGTTGAGTTTTTGCCATGTTGAATTGATATTGTTTCTTTGCATCGAATCGAGAGTTGTTGTTGTTTTGTTGCAAAGATGCAGATTAGAGAGGGAGTGTGGTTTCGGTTGGGAGAAAATGATGATTAAAGGAAGTGTGGTTTCGGTTGGGGAAAACATGTAGATGAATAGAGATTTCGGTGAGAGAGGTGAGAGGCTTAGTTTGTTTGCTCGATTTTGGCTGAGAGAAAGAACTGGAAAAAATTATTATTAAAACATGAAAAGAGAGAGAAAGTGGAGCGTGAGATTAGAAAGAGAAAGATTCTGATTTTTGTTTTAATTGTGGTTTAATTGGAAATTAATCATAACTTAACTCCTCTTTCCAATGAGCTACAGCCGCAACACCCTTCATTCCAATTTAGGGTTAACAAAATTCTTTCTATTCCCTCTTAACAGCGGGTTTGGGCTTAATTTTTTAGCCCAACCCATTTCACAGTTTTTGCTTTTTGTATTAATTCAAATCCAGAAACAAACAAATAATCAGATGGTGCATCGTTTGAGGTGTTGGCTTTACAAGCATGAGACTTGGGTTCGAGACCCCCCATGGACGTTTTTTTCATTTTTTTTATCTTTTTCCTCATTAACCCCCTTTTCCTTGTTTAGGCCTCCGCCCCAAATCATCATCATAAGCCCATGCAAATTTCTAGCATCACCCCTAGTATCTTCTGTTTGCAACCTTTTCTTATTTTTTTAATTTTTTTTTCATAATTTTCTTAGTTTAGTTTAGATTTTGAATTCAAGTTTTCTTAACTAAATGATTTCTTATTTTCCTCAGTTTTAAATATTTGTTTAAGAATTTTGTGAATAACCAATTTTGTTAGTTAGTCATTTTATTCTATAATTAATATTATTTAGAGGATTCCTACTAATTGTTTTATTTTCTTCATGATTAACAAAAATTCCAAAAAAAAATAGGATAAGTTTTATTTTCTTTTCAAATTTTCTATCAAAACTTCAAAAGACCAAAAATATATTTCTTTTAGATGTATTATTAGGACCTTTAACTTCTTCGCTCATGAATACACTTAAAAATATAAATAAAATCCATAAATACTTTTTAACTAAATAATTAAATATAAAAATATTTTTTTTTATTAATTATTTTGCTAATTAATTTTATAGATTGTTTTAGTTTAATTATTTGTTTATTTTTTATTTCGTTTGGGTTGTATTGATTTGTTTATTTAGACTTTTAATCGTATTGTTGATTCGATCCATCCCCATTTGTAAATTTGTACCCCCCATTCCCGAAACTTTGTAATAGCGTAGAACTTTAATTTCCACAATTTACTGTTTTCCTATATAGTAATTAGGCGTGCATGGCAAGATTTAAAATTGATCGCTAGATAACCTTAATCAAGACAATTTAACTGAAAACAAATCACTTTTCAAACACGCACCTCTAGGGTGACCTCGCTTGTTGCCTTCGAAAAAATATAATCATGTCCCTCGAATATGCGCTTTAGCAAAGACCCTCATAGAAAAAGACCGTAGTCCCTCGATGACCCTTCGATGTTGCCTTCAGTAAAACGATCTTAGCCCCTTACAAAAATTGCTAAAGCGTCTCATACATTACCTTCTATGATTGTACGACGACCCACACCTGTCCCTCACATCCAATAATAGGGCTTTCTACTAATCAATGGTAGGATAGCACTATCTCAAGAAGGAGGAAAAGAACAAAGACTTTTTGAGTCGGTAAGTTGCTCATAAATGCTTGCTCATAAATCAAAACAATCTTCACACCTCACACTTTCAAAAACATCTTTCAAACACTTTCCAAACAATAAATATTTTCAAAACCAAAATTTGTATACATTCTTAACTATACGAGAATCATTACAAAGTTTGCCGAAATGAAGGTGTTTTCAAAATATTTTCAAACTTACACCAAGCACAAAAAAACATTTACAAAGCATTTCAAAGTGAGTTAGCAATTAAGAGCCCGTAGATAACTACAGATGAAAGGGGTGTTAACACCTTCCCTTTTCATAATTTACCCCCCGAACTCAAGAAAATTCTCAAAAAGGTCTTTCCTGTTCTTTTCACCCTTTCCTTTATTGGATAAAAGAAAAGTTGGTGGCGACTCTTGTTATCTGCAACAATTGCGATAAAATGCAAAACACCAAGTCAGTTCTCCCACTATATTACATATATCTTGAAGGAAATTCAATTCTCTACAACTTTGTCTCTCTAAGCCCAAGGCCAAAAATGCTTCATTTGAGAGATATGGGCCAAAACATTACAGGTCATTTTAAAAGTCAACAAAAAGACACTTTTTTTAAAGCACTTTACATCGAGATAAATGCTTCAAATGAAAAATGACCAACATGAATATTGTAGGGTATATCTTGAGCTTTCCAAAGAGTCCAATATCACCTTCACATGACCAAAATTGAGCGAGTTATGATTGGTGCAAGTTGGGCAATTTTGAGAAAATGCATGAAGCCCAAATTGAGCAAATTTGAATTTTTGGGCTAATGGGCCTATCTTTTAAGGTCCATTAGTCCAAATTGATAAAATTCGTTTGGACCTTAAAAGATAGGCCCATTAGCCCAAAAAATCAATTTTGCTCAATTTGGACTTCATGCATTTTCTCAAAATTACCCAACTTACACCAATCATAACTCACTCAATTTTTGTCATATGAAGGTGATCTTGGACTCTTTGGAAATCTCAGGATATCCCTACAATATTCATGTTGGTCATTTTTTTATTTGAAGCATTTATCTTGACGTAAAGTGCTTTGACAAAAAGTGTCTTTTTGTTGACTTTTAAATGACCTGTAATGTTTTGGCCCATATCTCTCAAATGAAGCATTTTTGGCCTTGAGCTTAGAGAGAAAAAGATGTAGAGAATTGAATTTCCTTCAAGATAGGTGTAATACGGTGGGAGAACTAACTTTGGTTTTGTGTTTTATCGCAAATGTTGCGGATAGTAAGAGTCACCACCGACTTTTCTTTTATCCAATAAAGGAAAGGGTGAAAAGAACAAGAAAGACCTTTGAGAATTTTTCTGAGTTCGGGGGTAAGTTATGAAAAGGGAAGGTGTTAGCACCCTTTTCATCTGTAGTTATCTACGGGCTCTTAATCGCTAGCTCACTTTTTGAAATGCTTTGTGTTTGTGTATGTTTGAAAATATTTTGAAAATGCCTAACTATGACAATTTTGTAATGATTCTCGTATCGTTGAGAATGCATACAAAATGTCTATTTTGAAAATATTTGTTGAAACAGTGTCGTTGTGTGAAAATGTTTTGGGAATGCCAATGTAAGGCAGTTTACTTTACAATAACCCTTGTATCAGTTCTCAAGAGTGTTTATAAAGCATTTTGAAAGTGGTTGTTTTAAAAGCACGAGGTGTGAAAATTGTTTTAATTTATAAGCAAACATTTACGAGCGATCTACTTGCTCAATGGTCTTTCGTTCTTTTCCTCCTCCTTTAGATAGTGATATCTTACCATTAGTTAGTAGGAATCCATATCATTGGATGTGAGGGACATGTGCTTGTTATCGTACAATCATAAATGCGACTTGTAGGACGTTTTAGCAATTTCGTAAGGGACTAAGATCATTTACCGAAGGTAACATCGAAGGGTCATCGGGGGACTACAATCTTTTAACCGAGGGTCTTTGCTAAAGCGTCCCTGTAATAGGTGGCAGAACTGACTGTTTTTTGTTACTACTGGTTTTTGCGTTTTTTGTTCGCAAATGTACGGTACGCAAGAGTCGCCACCGTCTTTTATTTTATCCAACAAAGGAAAAGGGAAAAAGAACAGAAAAAACCTTTTTCGAGATGTTTTTGAGTACGGGGGGGGGGGGGGGGGGGGTAGATTATAGAAAGGGAAGGTGTTAGCACCCTTTCTATTCGTGGTTTTCCACGAGCTCTTAGGTACTTGCTCATTTTTAAATTGCTTTTGTGTGTTTGTGTGCTTTTAAAAAGTTTTGAAATTGCCTTAGTGCAACAATTCACTTTATGGTAACCCTTTTATCAGTCCTCAAGAGTGTGATAAAGTGTTTTTGAAAACTTTAGTTGAAAAGAGTGTGAAAGTGTAGGGTGTAAAAGTCATTTGAGCAAGTACCTAACAGTTATCTACCTACTCGAAAAAGACTGTTCATTTTCTTATTTCCTTTAGATAGTGTTATCCTACTATTAAGGAGTAGGTAGCTCCATTGTTGGAGTTTGAGGGACAATCGAAAGGGACGATTATGGTCACTTAAGGCAACAGGGCAAGATCTCTTAGTAACTGTCCTAAAGTTCTAAGATCACATTTTGTTTTACCGAGGCAACTTTCGA